TATATAAAAAATACTAATATTTATGATATCAGATAAGCAACATTAGATCGCTCACGTTATATATTTTGATAGCAAACATATTTCGAGATACAAATGTTCATACTACTTTTTTATAAACGTAGTCAAATTTGAGATCATTAGTTGACTCCTCGTGAGCACGACCTTGCTATATGCACGATGGCCTGCCGTGATATGCCAGGCCGACATGCCATGCCGGCACGATGGGCACGGTAGCCTGAGCCCAACTGAAGTTGTGTGTCGTGCCGCTACTGGGAGATATCATGAAGAGAGACCTTGACAGAAAGGAAGAAAACATTGGGGAACAGGGGTGAGGAGGAGGGAATCGACAAATGGCAACTTAGTGAGTGGCGGTTGGTGGCTAAAGCCAAAGGGAGCGACCAAGCGTCGAGCAGGACGAGGCAAAGGAATTGGCGGCTAGGGCGTATGAAAACGGGCTAGCTAGCGCCCGAACGTCCGGCCCATCACGCGTCCAGACGCAACTCCCAACCTCTAACGCAATCTGATTTCACCTATTCGTAACTCGCAACAAAAAACGATTAGAGCGCATTCCCGCCCCACCGCCGTTCCCCACCACGTTCCTCCCCCGCCGCGCCTCGTTCCCCTCCACGCCCGTCTCTGCCGCGCCCATCCCTGCCATGCCCCCATGTCTTGCACATATGCAACATCCTGTTCTACGTTTGCAACATCTAGATGAAACACTTGCAACATACGTCTGAAACAGACGAAACATTTGCAACATACACTAACACATACGTGTATAACCATTGCAACATATGCAACATCCCGATCTACTTTTGCAACATCGATATAAAACACTTGCAAAATACCTCTGAAACACCTGAAACATTTAAAATATACGTTTGCAACATGAGCTTTTAGCGCAACTTCTCCTTACTACTTTGGCGAATGGAGGCTCGTCGGCGTGTGGAGGTTACTGGTGTATGGCTCGTCGGCAACGCAAAGCTGGGCAACGGATCATAGAGGGTGGGGTAGGGGCGGCACGAGGGACATTGACAACGTAGAGGGCGGGAGGCGCGCGGGTAGCGGTGGCGCAGAGGCTGGGTGTGTGGGCGCGGCTACAACGACGATGACGTAGAGGGCGGGTGGGGATGACAGCGGTGGCGCAGAGGGTGGGGCGGCAGCGATGACACATAGCACGGGTGGATGTAGCAAAGACTGCACGCAAAAGTAGTGAAGTGCGCGCATCTCGGGACGGGGCTTCCGCGGGTGAGTGAGGGGCTGATTTCATAAAATGATTTTTCATCAGCTACATTCAACATGGTATAGACGGCTATAAGAACATCCAACGGTTGGAAGGAGTAACCACGAGAATATCCGATGGTAGAAGGGATCGGTCTGATACAGTACCTGGCCATAACTGAGACGCCCGTGCCACGGCACTGTGGTCCGAGAAAGGATCTGCGACCTAGACAACCATGCATCGGACCGAGCATGCTAGTATCGTGTTTTCTAGACCTAGGGTCGCTAATAAATGGACGCGATCCATTTGGTCTAGCAAGTGCGTGTCCCTGTGGACCTACGGGCGGTAGTGCGTGCCTGCGTGGTGCCTGGCGTCCCAAGTCGCAACGGCGAGAGGGAGACGGCAAAAGCGTGACAACGTACTGAATTGATTCACTGATGCGTCCCGCCGGCCCCGCAGCCTTCACGGCTTCCCTTCGTGCAGAGGCCGCCAACCATGTGAGCAGGGCGCGCGGGCAGGACAGGAGCTGGACACTCTGCTCGTGCTGTGCTCCACCTCCACTTCTCCACCCCCTGCTCGCTCGATCCATCACACGGAGGAAGGCCAGGCTACATCCATCAGATCAGTCCATCACATCCTAGCCTAGCTCTCTTGAATCGTTGTACTCCAGCAGTAGTACTGCCGACTCTCTGCGTGCTAGTATTGCATTGTTCTCTTTTCTCGCAGAAAAATACACACTGTATTGTACTATCTATAGATCGACAAAATCGCAATTAATCTAAAATGAAGCTGTCATGCTAATGCTATGGTACTATATATGTCTATCACATTATCATCTGGCTAAGCTAGCACTGGAAGAACATCGGACTCCACTATAGCAGTCACTATGGCATGCGACCTGTGTGAGCTACTTTACAAAAACAAACCGGTCGAGTCACGCATGCATGTATGGAACCTGCCCAGCACCTACACAGTACACACTGCATTTGCTGGAGCTGGACTAGAGAAAACTACAGAGATTGGTAACAGGTTGCTAGGCGTTAGCTCTACCAGGCCGGCCAGCCCGTACGTGCACTTTCGCTAGACGCCACTATACTACTAATGCATTTCCAGCGCAAGAATTCCCCGGTCCGGCTCTCCACGGGAGATTTCCACCGACCACCGGGATGCAGAAATTGCACTGGCAACGGCCCGGACCAGGACACGCCGGAGCCGTAGCAATAACAATGCACCACGGTTCGAGCACTCGCTAGACACGGCCGATCGAGCAAAAGTGAAACCGTTGATCGGAGTACTCTCGTTCCTTCCTGCCACAGACCGTGACCCGTCCACGTTACTTTCGAGCACGGACGATCGTCGAGAAACAAAAACTGCCAGAATTTTACTGAATTCTACTATCTTTATCCCCGGAAACGTGCAAACCTATATCTTAAGTTTGACTCACCTAACTGAAAATATTATGGATGTTTATGGCTTCAAACAGTTATATTATAAAAAATATGTTAACTTAAATTTGAAGTCTTGTTTAAATTAATAGAATTATATCCTTTCTATATATGGGGTAAAACCATTTTGAGCTTGATCAATATAATTATCAATATTAGTAATCTACATCTATATCTAATAATGTAATAATATAATATTAAAGAGCAAAATTTTCCAAAAAAAAAGAGATGGTCCATCGCACTCTCTCTTTTGTGTCCCTTCACTCTCCGGAGCATGAGTCCTAGTTGGTTTCACTAAGAGTAATAAATGTAATGGATTAGAGATTAGGGTCCTACTTACTTTATTATCATGTTTGTGATCTGAACTCACAATCCATATTCATAAGAGTTATACTAGCGTATGTCTCTGATTCTAAAGCTTATTAGAACAGATGACACAAAACGTAAACTTTCATCATCATAAAATATATATTTCACGCTGATTTTTTTGTTATATAATTTTTTTATTTTATAATCTTGACTAAATATTGGAAATTGACTAGAGATAAATCTAGAATTAGCTCCTCCGGACGGAGGTGACTTCTTCCCGGGGACAAATGGAATGACTCGTGGAGTGCAGCCTACTGTATCCTGTATTGCTTCGAAGACAGGCAGCAGTATGGAACAGTGAGCAGCTGCGGCAGTACCCCAAAAGACCAGGACTGGCGTCGCCATCAGGGTTTATGTACGGGCTGTTCGGCGGACCGAAAAATAAATTAAAATATTATTTTAATTGTTGTTGTTAAAAAAAATACTGTTATATTGTTTGAACATAAACAGCGTTTCTGTGAGTGCGCTGGTCAGCCGGGCTCAGTCAGCCAGCCAATCAGAATCTGACGGCCACGACGGTGCCTCCACCACGTCACGCGCTCCCCACTCCCGCGGCCCCGCCCCCGCGCTTTATTCCGGCCCCACCACGTCCCGTCCGTCCCGGCGTTCACCGGGTTCGTGCCCCCAGTGACCAACGCCCACCTGGCGCAGGCCTGGCCCAGTCGTCATCCGCCCATCACCCCACAGATGCGCCCAGCCGTGCGTGCAACAACTGTTTCGCGCGCTCGATCCGCCTCGGGTCGTGCGCCTCTCCAGCTTCCCCAGGATCCCCAGAAACGGCAGGCAGGCAGGCAGCAGCTGCGGCGGGCCCACGTGAGCGAGTCAGAATGCTGCGCGTACCAGTAAACCACGCGCTAATCACTCTGTGTTAACAATCTCGCTAGATAATGACCGTCCCCGCCTGCCAAATTCGCCGGGGCTCTAACCTCCTGCCTCCAAATGTGGAGGACCATGGTCCTAGTCGTACACGAATACTGCTAGTAGTATTATTATACTATATACTGGCAATATCTCTGCAAAGTAGCACAATGGTCGTAGTCGTCGTAGTAGTATTATATACTGTATACTGGCACACTGTATCCGTGTCTGGTCTACGTACGCAATCAATGCGTACAGGATACAAAGCGACCGTGATCCGGACCCACTTGCAGAGGGAGACAGAGCAGGGTGCGAGTGCGAACAGTTAGCGAGCGGGGCTGCAATGGAAGCAGGCAGGGGGGCACGGCACGAGGCGCTGTTCATACCAGCAGTGGAAGGAACGGCGCATGCAGGTGGTGTGGCAGGGCGCTGCTGCCAAGCCAGAAGGCAAAAGAGAGAAAAAGGCAGCAGCAGAACAAAACAAAGTTGCAGTGGTGGTGCTAGGCGTTGCCGGTGTGGCTTTCAACACTGTCTACTGTATGCTGCTTCTGTGCTTCTCGTCAGTGGAAAAGCAAGCTGCTGCTCGCTCCTCTTCGTCTGCTCCTACATTGCTTCTGCTGATGCTAGCGTAGTAGTAGCGTTCAATCCAGCTTAAGCCATGGATAGCATGGACTCTGGCAAGGATAGCAATAGCATACTCCTACCGAGAATGCAAACAGAAAGCTATGGTTAAGCTACTCCTTTCCGCATTGCTGAATTGTTTCGATGGGGTACAGCTGCATTTGGATCAACAGGCCTAGAACCAGCCCAGCTTTGCTAGTTGCTCAATACCAAATTACTGATAATCTACATATATGTATTCCATATAATCCAGTCGCTTCAAACAGGAAACGAAATTAACAGCAACGACGAAGAACATTGTAATCACAAACCAAATGGAATAGAAAAACGATGAGCAAGCTGCCATTATAACCTACAAAAGATGTTTCTTTTCTTCACCTCCGTTGTTCTTCTTTTTTTTTTTACCTTTATCTCCCTGACGATGCTCACCCTGAATTGCCTCCGGCGACGGAATCATCCAGGTTGATGGCTCTAATCAGCCTGCTTCAAGCGCCTGGATTGAAGTGGGGATCTGACACGGCAGAGAGCTCCACCTCCTCGGACGGCGGCGCCACGTTCAGATCGATCATGCAGGGACTGTTGTTGATCGGGGACGGAGGAGTGGCGGCTGAGGTGGTGGAGGCGGTGCCGGTGCCCGTGCTGGCAAGCGACGCCGCGGCCGCGGCGCCACACACATGGGACCGCTTGTGCCCCGCGAGAGCCTGGCCCGAGGAGACCACGCGGTAGCAGTGGGGGCACTCGCGCGGCTGCTGCTTTGCATCCATATCCATGTCCTCGTCCTCGTCCCCGTCACTGTGCTCCGGCAATGGCGACAGCGGCGGCTGGGGCTGCAGGGGAGGAGCCGGAGCCGGGGCCACGGGAGGCGCGCAGCAGCCGCCCCTGCCGCCGCGCACGTTGCTGGCGCGGTGGCCGCCGAGCGCCTGGTAGGAGCGGAACACCTTCTTGCACGCGACGCACTGGAACTGCGTCCGCTTCTCCACGGGCGCCGGCGCCGGGGCCCGCAGGAGTGGCGGGGCAGGGGGCGGCGCGTAGCCGTCGTCGCTCCCGTCGTCGTCCTCGGCGAGTACAGCCGACGGCCAGGAGTCGCGGGAGAGCATCATGAGGGATAGCGCCACGTCCTCCGGGGTTGAGACCTCTGACAGCGAGCTCGCCGGTTCGGGCTCGCCCCAGACGGCGGCGGCGTTCACGCGCTTGGTGTGCGGCGGGGTGGACTCGGCCTCGCTCTCGCGATCCGAGAAGGCGGCATCGGCCACGCGAAGGCTGCGCTTCGGATTCTCCCGGAGCCCGTAGGTGGAAGCGGGCGTCTTGAGGCCGACGTCCTCGTCGGCGGCGGCGGCGAAGGAGGTCGACGCGGAGGACGCCGAGGAGATCTGCTGCTTCGCCGCCGCCGCTGCAGCCGCCTGAGCTCTGGCGATGGAATGAGAGCGCATGTGCCCGGCGAGGGCGCGGGGACTGGCGAAGCGGCGGGAGCAGAGCTTGCATGTGTTCTTCGCCATGGCGAGAGAGAGCTTGCGCCTTTCGGAGCTCTCGGTGAGCTCTTGGCAGGCAGGAGCGAAAATGGTGAGGAGAGAGAGCGTGAGCGAGCGAGAGAGCTGCGGGGGTAGTTAAGAATATAGCGGAACAGCAAGCTTCTCTTTCCTATTTATTTTTCGTTTTCAGGATTTTTCCCTTTCATTTCTTCAAAATTTATTTTTCTTTCCTCGTTGACACCTTCAATCGCGGTGAGGGCGTTGGTGATGCTTGGCTCATGCAAATCGAAGCAGTCAAGCAGAGATATTTTTTGCTGCTTTGACGGCTTGAATTGCTTCCAGTTTTTTAGGACCGGCCCATCTGCTCCTGTGTACATATGGAATTATCACAATTCACAACTAATAATGCCTTATATTTGCACCAAAGATGCTAGACCATATATATGTATGTATAGATGCTAGACAAAATAAGTTTTGATCCTCTACCAAACAATCATGAATGCAATTTGCGGTTTTGCTTGCGCCGATGATCCCATATTAAATGAATGCCAAATGGTCAAATCTCTCTCTCTCTCTCTCTCAATGTTTAGGATGCATAGCCAGATTATGCACTGATCTCTCACACTAGTGAATATTATTTTTCCCATTGCTTCTACAACATTATGATAGCCATTATTAACATTCTTTGTCCTTTATTATTAAAATACACATTTAAACAGTGCATTGGTATGTGATTCCATATAGCCAATTTAGGTAGCCATAAGCATATTGTTACAAGTTAAATTTAATAAGTACAATTGTTCAAGCCATTAAACATCATAGAAGATAAAGAAGTTATAATATATAAGGCTCGTTTTTAATACAAGCTAAAATCACACACCTAACATACTCTCCACTTGCGATACCGATGTACCCAAACACGCCCCACTTGTTGGACTGGCTGGATATCTAAGTATGCCACAACTCCATTAGAAGTGCAGGAATTTCATGGGAAGCACATAGTGAAAGTGCAATCAAGTCCTAATTGTGGGTTTTGGTGATAATGACCACGCAATTAGAAAACTAATGAGATTTATCGAGATGACAAGCAGCGAATCTATATTCGAGGATGTTACACGAAACGGAGGAGCCCCCAATTACAAATATTGATGGCTTTAAACTCAAAGGAGGTTTAAATTCTTTTATATTTTGAATTTGAGTATAAGAAAAGCCGTAATATAAAGGGGGACACAATGCTTAAGCTAACATGTGCTACCAAGTGTTCAATCTTACACATACATCCTTAGTTACTCAGCCAAGACAGCTAACACTTTACTCTTACCCTTCCTGTCTTGCCTGGTGCGGTAGTGCCGCACCTCGAGAGAGGCACTGCCGCACTTGAGCCGTGGCACTGCCGCGACTTAAGTGACCGTTGGGGCTAGAGGGTACTTATACCTTTCCCCTTCTTCACCAATGTCTCTCTTCTCTCTCCCACTCATTCAGCTCGTCCAAGAACAGAAGTGTGCCCTCCTCTCTCTCCTCCATTGGTGACCATGAGCTCCCAACCATTCTCCCTTGATTTCCCATCAATCCTTGAGAGAAAAAGGTCATAAACTCAATTAGAGAGCAGATCCTTTGATTCCCCAACTCAAAAGAGCACTTGGTTCACGTTTTGGTCGACGATTGTGTTTATTACTCTTGGAGCTTTGCTCCTAGCCATCTAGAGCGTCGTCCGAGGAGCTTGCCAACTTGTGTGGCAGCTCTGGGAGGTTTGTAACCACCTCTTCAAACTAGTAAACTCACCTCTCATCTCAAGAGTTGAGTCTCTTGACTTGAGAATGAGGAAGAGTTGCAAAGCCCTAAGCTTTAGTGGCTAACCTCAACAACGTGGACGTAGGCAAGTCTTGGTGGCGAGCTGAACCATGGGTTAAATCATCGTGTCACCTTATGTTTGATTTACATCATTTGCATTTCATATTGTTGTTAAGGTGATTTCTAGGGTTTGTGGTCGATCTACTTGTGTGTTGTGTTTCTACCACTTCTAGCTCTTGATCTATGAATCTCATACCTGCAGGAAGCTAAGAAATTTCTCCGATTCAAGTTTACATTCACTGATTTTGAACTGTGACTCGAAGTTGTCTGCAGGTGCGGTAGTGCCGCTGTTCTGTCCCGGCAATGCCGCTGTCCGACAGTGCCGCGAGGTTAGAGTGGCAGTGCCGCAGGTTGAATTTGATGAAAGTTTGAGTATTTGTTTTGACAGGCCTATTCACCCTCCTCCAGGCTAACCAGAGATCCTACATATAGAATCCCATAAGAATCAATTTAACTCTATAGGAAACTGCAAGAACTGAGAAAAGTTATGGCATTCCAAACATGGCCTAAACTCTCTTGAAAATTATCAAACTATAGGAATAGGAAAAACGCATCATCTGAGTATGCATGCTATTGAAATCATACTCATATGTGGATCTATAATTCAATAAAGCTACAAATTAAAATAAGCATTTGGATGATTAGGAAAAATACATGAACCGAACCCTAAGACATAAAGGAAGAAATTTAAGGTTGTGCTTATTTTCTTCTAATAGATCTCATTTTTTCAAATGAATTTATAGGATTCCATCATTTATTCAGAAAGGTCCTAATAACAAAAATTTCTACATGAATTGATTCCTCTAAAATCCCTCGATTCCTACTACGTCACAAAGGGGTCCTTAGGTGCACACACAAGTGTGCATACGCCAAAATCCGGTGAAAACCCAATGTCTAGTCTGTGAAGACTAACCGTATTTTGTCTGACGTGAATGGCAGCATCCCCTCACTTGTAAGTCCCGCACACGCAAAAACTGTGCACGCAAAGAGGTTTCCAAATGCACCATAGCATCATGGAGGACATACATGTATGCTCTACAAATCGATGGGCGAACCCGTTGGATTGGTGCTCAACCATACATGGAAGCAACTGATAGCTTCTTGTGATCAAAGTCACTAACATAGTCAAGCAGAAAAGATCCCATGAGCTTTTCTTTGTTGCATCGTAGTCGCGGAAAACAACCCATGGGTTTTTCTTTGTAGCTCGTTGCACCTCCCCACTTCCAAACACAAACACAAAAAGATTAGGAGTGAATTGACATAGCTCGATTGGCTAACTAAGGTGCCAAGTCCGAACACTAAAAACTCTACATATGGCCGAGTCAAGGGACCCTTAATGTAAAAAAGAATAAATGGTAGAAAATGTTCCTGCAAGCTATGTCTGTTGTTATAGACTCTCTGAATTCCTTATTTTTCTTGTTTCTAGTAGTTTGATTTGACTAATAAATAATACTTCATTCGTTCCAATTATAAGTCATTCTGATTTTTCTTGGTGCAAAGCTTTATTAATATACTTAGATATAAACTATGTTTAGATACATAGTAAAAACTATGCATCTAGACTTTTAGTTTAGAACGGACATAGTAGTTACTAAGTTCATGGATATTAATAGTCAGTTTCAATAGAGAATGGGAGGGAGGGCCGGAAATGAAGCGCGTTGAGGACTAAGTCAAAAGTAGATAATTAAAGTGTGGCCAATACAGTAGTTCGGTAGTAAGAATGTGAGTACATTTGAGTACCCGTTTTCGTGGCAAATTAATAGTGGTACGTGTTCCTGCTAGCTAGCATACATTCATCCTCAATTCAAGTATTGCTAGCTATACCACGGGAAGCTATTTGTTGCATGGATCCCCCTGGGATTATTTGTGCAAGGAAACCGGAAGCGATTGATTTGCTTCCAAGGATTCTAGATTGGCACATCGAGAAACAGCGGCCAGCGAGCGACAATTGCGTATCTGCGGTGGGGACGTTCGTACGGTGGGGACGCCTTTGGTGCGCTCGACCTGAAGCGTTTCCGGATCCGCCATGTCTAGACACAGTATCGCCCGCGCTGGTCGCGGAGTGGGTGGGTGACACATGATCGATCACCGAGCGGACAAATCCACATGATTACCCCACCAAGTACGAACCGGCGAGCCACCGCCGGTCCACCACCACCTGCTGTAGCCTGTATCCTGTAGGGGCGTACTAGGGCGCAGCGTGCAAGTGCTGCGTCGGCGAGCCATGCATGCGTGCGTCCGTTCAAGTAGCTATGGTGCGCGCCGGCAGCTTCAGCGCTGCATGGTGGTGAAGACGACGCTGCCGATGATGCCTCCTGCATGCTACTGCCTGCCTACCACTGCGATCAGTGCTTCTTTCTCAGCTTCTGCCGCTGCACGCCGTAGTGCCGGGGCCTGGTCGAGGCAGGGAACTGCGCTTGTTTAGTTTTTTCCACAAAAGTTTACATCTTATCCTATCGAATATTTAGACACACGTATAAAGTATTAAATATAGATTAAAAAAATAACTAATTATACAGATTGCGACGACTTTGCGAGACGAATCTTTTAAGACTAATTAGTCCATGATTTGACAATGTGATGCTACAGTAATACATGTGCTAATGACGGATTAATTAGGCTTAATAAATTCGTCTCGCGGTTTAACAAATTACAGAATCCGTCAGTAAACCGCGTAAGTCTAATTAATCTGTCATTAGCACATGTGTGTACTGTAACACTTTATTGTCAAATCATGGACTAATTAGGCTTAAAAAATTCGTCTCGCAAAGTAGTCGCAATCTGTATAATTAATTATTTTTTTAATCTATATTTAATACTATATATATATATATATATATCTTCGTCTCGCTTTGCTCAAAGTCAAAGTCAAGTGGCGGCCCGGCTGCTGCATTGGCGGATTGGCCTGTGCTGTGCTGCATGCGGAGGGAGCTGGGAGTGGGTGCTGACGACGGAAGTGGAGACAGAAAGGCTACTTCTGTGTTTCATCACCGTCTCGTTCTCCGCTCTAGCTTCAGCCCATTTTTCTCTTTTCTGATCTTTCCTTCCGTTCCAACACGGCCTTGTTTAGATGGTAAGTTTTTTCAGTCTCTTTCCATCACATCAAATTTTTGAACATATGCATGGAGTATTAAATGTAGATAAAAAAAATAACTAATTACACAGTTTGATTGTAA